TATATTCATAAGAAGGATAATCAAAATGTTCACTTAGACCTAGCACATGGATTGAAAAACTCTTTCTAAACTCAGGAAGCAATTCTAGCAACTTACAGTTTACGGGAAATCTATTATCTTGTCATGAAGTTGGGCTTCCGATGGAAGCCCAACTAAAACATTTATTTTTTAAAATTGTATGCCAGCCTCAATTAATTAGGTGCCAAGTACTTTATATTCATTCTATTATAATCTTTCAAATAACTAATCACTATTAATCTACCCATAATGCTCTAGTCCTAAAAAGAAAATTTATCTGAAATAAGCATTGTTATTTTTTTTTATCCTGCATAATGTTCATCTGTGAAAGCATGGTAACAGAGTTGAGGTCATACTACATATACTATTTAGTGGGTTCTGTTCCTTTCAATTAATATCGTATCATAAACATATTCCCAGAACTTTAAAACTAACTTGCAAGCATGATTCTGAAGAGCTGCACAATAAAAACCATATTCATTAACCATAATTTATGTAAACTTTCACCTTCTGAATATATAGGTTACCTACAGTTTTTCACTATTTTAAATAACACTGTAATGTGCATAAATACCATGAATCGTCTGTCAGTTTGTCACATTGTGATGGTTTGTGTGTCACTCTGATGCTTAAAGCTATGTCATAGGTATTTCAGATATTGGTAAACACGTTTCAACGGAGCTTCCAGACCATAAAGAAAGCTGAAGAATTAGCTACTGAAAAACCTTATTGTGCAGAATATTGTCACATACTTAAAAACCTCATGAACATCAGGATAACATTGTCAGAAATAGTGCAAGAAGATGAGCACCTTGGGTCAGAAAACACTCAAAATACAACTGAAAAAAAACTGCCTTCTTAAAATTAAGAGTAGACTGTAATGACCTGGATGAATGGAAACTTTCTGAAGTAAACCCTTCTAGACTTTCATTTGCTGATGGACAAACAACTCAAAAATGAAAACAGCTATAAATATGTAAGAATAATTAAACCTTGAAATGTACGAAATATGAATCTAAGAAAACTCAGGGTGCAGTATAGCAATGATGAAACATACAACTTTCCTCTAGTTCTTGAATGTTTCCTCCCCCCACTATCATGATCCCAATTCTACCTTACAAATCCGGCTGGACCAGAGGATGTACACTGGTACAGATGCGAACTGAAAACACAGGGAATTCAGGGCAGATGAACCCCTCAGCACCAGTGGTGAGAGTGGTGATACCGGGAGAGTGAAGGGAAGGTGAGGGAAAAAGGGGGAACAGATTACAAGGTCTACACATAACCTCCTCCCTGGGGGACGGACAGTGGAAAAGTGGGTGAAGGGAGACGTTGGACGGTGTAAGATATGGCAAAATAATAATTTATAAATTATCGAGGGTTTATGGGGGAGGGGGGAGCAGGGAGGGAGGAGGGGAAATGAGGAGCTGATACCAAGGGCCCGAGTAGAAAGCAAATGTTTTGAGAATGAGGAGGGGAAAAATGTACAAAAGTGCTTGACACAATGGATGGATATACGGATTGTGATAAGAGTTGTACGAGCCCCCAATAAAATGATTTCTAAAAAAATGAAAGTACATGCATAACAATTGATATCCTAGGCATTATTAAGCTGAAATGGACTGGTATTGGCCACTTTAAATCAGAAAATCATGCTTTACAAGCCTAGGAATGGCAATATTACTCTGCCCTATAGTGTTTCTTTTAAGTTGGAGTTGATTCAAGGCCAATGGGTTTTATAGCAATATTATCAAAATCCCAAACTCACTGCCATTGAGTCCATATCAATGCATAGCAAACTTATAGGATAGAGTAGAATTGCTGCTATGAGTTTCTCAGACTCTATCATTACAGGAGTATAAGGCCTCCAATTCCTCCCTTGGAACTGATAGTGGTTTCATATTTCTGACCTTGTGTTTAGCAGCCCAATGTATCACACACTCTGTCACTAGACGTCTTAGGCATATACAGAACAATAATGTATATGTATACAGAACAATAATGTATATAGAACAAAGACATGTACACAATAATACAGTATGCATTCTTCTCTAGTGTATATGACACATATACCAGAGAAGGCCATGTGATAAGTGACAAGGAAAGTATTATCAAATTTGAAAACCTCAGATATTACAAAGTATTTTCAGAGATCACAAGGCTATAAAGTTAGATATCAATAGTAGGAAGAGTAAAGGGAAAATAAAAAATATGAAAGTCAAACAACATCCCACTTAAAAACTACTGAGTATTTAAAGAAATAAGCAATTTTTAGAAGTCATTTTATTGGGGGCTCATACAACTCATCACAATCCATACATACATCAATTGTATAAAGCACATTTGTACATTTGTACATTTGTTATCAACTTCTCAAAACAAATGAGAATGAAAATATAACACACTAAACTCTTTGGGATTAAGCAAACTCAATACTTAGAGAGTAATTTATAGAAATAAATACATATCTTCACAGCAATAAATACACACATCAAAACATTAAAAATACGCAAAACTAACATCTTAGCCAAACATATTGAACAATTAAAATAAAAGCAACAAAATAAACCATAAACCAACAGAAGAAAAGAAATGATAATGACTAAAGCAGAAATAAATGAATTGGAAAACAGTAAAATAGAAAACAAATTAACAAGATAAGAGGTTGCTTAGAATCAAATGAACAACACCTAGCAACCATGTGAAAAGATTAAAGATGATGGGGGGGGGCTTAATATGAATTTAAAATCAGTTTTATTTTTTTTGTTTATTTACCAAAGTGAACAAGAAGTAAGAGGGGCATACCAAACCAAAGAGAGAGACTGAAAGAGAGAAGAGGTTAGTTCTCAAAAAAGACCAAGAAAATCAACAAATAATTGGCAAGTTCAACAAAGGTTAAGAAGGATATTATGGAAACATAGCAAATACCAACTTAAATTAAAAAGATAATATTAAAATGATACAATGAGAGGCTGTACTCCACAAAATGTTGAAAACAGACGAAATGGACAAATTTCTACAAACACATGACCTATTTAAATTAATACAATCTAAATAAAAAAAACTTAAAAGGCCTATAACAAAAGAAGAAATCAATCTGATCATTAAATAACACCACCCCCCCAAAATGTCAAAACACCCAAAACAAAAGTCTAGGACCAAATAGCGTCACCAGAGGAGTATACCAAACATTCAGAGAAGAGTTCACACCAATTCAATATAAACTATTCTGGAATATAGAAATGCAAGGCAAACTCCTGAACGTATTTTACAAAGTTAGGAAAACTATGATATCAAAACAAGGAAAAATAATATCAGGACAGAAAAATTACAGATCAGTATCTCTTAAAAACACAGATGCCAAAATCTTCAGCAATATGTTACTCAATAGAATTCAATAGGGCAATGAATGTACAATTGCGCTTTACACAAT